ACCACTGAGCTAAATCCCTGGCCCCATTTTGGCATTTCTAATTTTTCTCTGCTTTTGTTGATCAGAAAATATATTTATTTTCCTTTTTTTTCCCCAGTATTGAGGATTGAACCTAGAGTCTTCACATTGAGTGACCTACATCCCCACCATTTTTTTTTTTTTTGGTACTAGGGCTCAAACTTAGGACCTTGTGCATGCAAGGCAGGTGTGGTGCCACTGAGATAAATCCCCGGCTCTGATCCCCATCTTTTTTTTTGTTACCAGGGATCGAACTCGGATCCTTGTGCTTGCGGGGCAGGTGGTGGAACCACTGAGCTAAATCCCCGCCCCAATCCTCATCTTTTTTGAGACACAGTCTCTCTAGATGGCTAAGTTGCCCAGGCTGGCCTAAAACTTTTGGTCCTCCTGTCTCCGCCTCCCAGAGCACTGGGATTATAGGTGAGCACCACTACTATTTTCCTTCATCTAAAAAATAATTAATTTTTTTTGTTTTTGTTTTTGTTCTTGAGACAGGGTCTTGCTATGTAGTTCAGGCTGGCCTCAAACTCACAGTGATCCTCCTGCCTCAGCCTTCTGAGTGCTGGGATCACAGGCATGCATGACTATATCTGGCTTTTCCTTTATTTTGAAGACTGTTTTCTTACACAGAATTCAACATTGGTAGTTACTTTCATTCATTTGGTTAAATGTGGGCTTCCATTATTTCTGTTGTGAATTCAGCTATTGTTTTTATTTTCCTCCTCAAGTTGTGATTTTTTAAAAAAAGTTTTCTTTTCTTTTCTTTTTTTTTTTGGTACCAGGGATTGAATTCGGGACCTTGCGCTTGCAAGGCAGGCACCAGAACCACTGAGCTAAATCCCCGGCCCCCAAAAAAGTTTTCTTTTAAGATAATCTTTGAGTCTTTAAAGTTTGATTCTGAAGAGCAGAGTTGGGGTCATTACGAATAGTGCTGCTATCAATCTGATTTCATATGCCTTTTGGGGAACATATGTGTACATTCCCGTTGGATGTATATGCAAGATGAAATTGCTCTGTCACAAGGCTTGCAGAGACCATTACTAACCATTAAATATAAACTTATTCTTATTAGCCATTATCTATTAGCTTCATATGTTATTATAAACTGTCATTATCAGTATTAGCCCTTACAATTAGCTATTATTACTGTATTTGCTACTAGTTACTGTAAGGACTTGTGGGTAAGATGGGGTGGATTCCTAAGTAGCTTGTACCTTTTGGAGAGGAAGTCCCTGGGCTCTGTCTCAAGAGGAATGAAGGCCATTCATGCTGCAGACAGGATCCCTGGGCCGCCCCTAGTGGCAGTCAGTGACTCAGCATGGGACTGAGATGAGTCACTCAGGGGACTTCCAGGCAGGGCCCCTCCTATAGCCAGGTCACCCACTGTCTTCATCCAGTGCTGTGCCCAGCCCCTGGGGTTGCCTCAGGCCTATGCCAACAGGCCCTCCTGAACAACTGGTGGCTGAAATGCCAGGTCTCCCGCTGGCCACCAGCACCAGGAGCCTGTACCGCCAGACTGCACCACAGAAAAAGACAATCGCACCTGCTTCCATGTCCAAAACATTTATTTCCAGGAAATGTTTGTATCTGCACAAGGAGGGACCTTTGTGGGCTGTCCAAGGCTGCCAAAGTGACATCTGGCAGGGCTAACTGGGTCAGAAAATGGTAACCACTGTGAGGCCTGAGACCAGGCTGGGGGAAGATTTTGAGGATGACCACCTGTGAGATAACATAGGCGCTAGATGTGATGGGCTTTTGGTTGGAGTCTGGTTTGGAACCAGTTGTGGTCTCTGATGCTGATGTGGGAGGATAGAGCGGCAACCCCTGTCCAGCTGTTCCTCTGGGACCTTATCCTCCAGTGGGCTTTGCCACTTGTTTTCCTCCCCAACCTAGAGGTAGCACTTGGTGGTCAGTGGTTCTGCCAGAGCCCCCTGATGCACCCACTCAAACCCCTGCACCACTCTCTTGCCCAGCCCAGCGTACCTGCTCCACTCGCCTGAAGACCCGAAGCAGGTTTCCTCAAAGCACACCTTGAAGCTCCTCCTCACTCCAGCCCCGACTCAGCAGCTCCTCTATCAGCACAGGGTATGTGGACACATCCTCCAGCCCCTCAGGGAACCTGTGTGGCCACCAGCAGATGGTTCTCTGAGTTGGTACCCTGATCCCAACTCAGAGTCCCAGCCCTGTGTGTCCTGGTGGTTTGTACTCCAGCCCCCGTCAGATGTGTGAACTGGAGACTTGGAGACAGCAAGTGATTTGCCCCTGCTCTGCACCCTTCAGAGGAGGCTCCAAAACCTCCTTGAATATTTGCCAAAAGTCACTGAACTGCACTTTTAAGATCTATACCTTCCGCTGAATGCACCTCCCCTCCATCTTCAGAACTGGGCAGAGAAGATGGTCAGCTTACACCAGACATTGTTGACAATCTGCTGGGGCTGGGCTGGGTGCATGGACTGGGCAGATGAGTTGTCTGGTGGCTTGGCTAAATATGATGCCTTAGAGTAGGGAGACTGGGCTGAAGGCAGACAGGAGATTGGAGGAAACAGACCCTGAGAATGGGAGATGCTGGGTGGCTAAGGTCTAAAGGCTATGAGGACCATGGTAGGGTGGGTGGTGCCTTCAAAGCAGCCCCAGATAAGCCACAGGGCAGTACTCACTGGCTGGTGCCATCATAATCTCCACCAATCCCGATGAATTTGGACCCGATAACTGCTTTGATGTGGTCAAAGTGATCTGGGAGATGGAGAGTAGTATGGGGTTTCTTGGACAGGGGTGCCCTCAATCTGGACTCTGCTTGTACCCAGCAGGCCAGTTCCTTCATTGCCCATGCCTTGTGTGGCTATCTGAAGTCTCTGAGGTTTGTCTTTAACTGATCCCAGCTAGCTCTAGACTGGACTTCAAGTCTGGAGTGAGCCCATTTAGAATGACAGCCATTGGGGTCATTTCCCCTCCAGATTCACCCTGCCTTCAGTCTCTTTGGGAACTTAGTAGGGCCTCTTTCCAGTTGTGTGGAAGACGAAAGAGGGATAAAAAGTGCAGCTGACAGACTCCAGAGACCTAAGGCGGAGGTAGGGTGCTTTGGTAGCCCCCTAGGGGGCACACGGGGTCAGCACTCAGCTCTATATCGGGCTCCTTTCCCATCCCCATCAGCGTGGCGATGTGGACTCTGTGGCTCTGGTTCTACATAACACCAAGGTGCTCTGTAATGTCTGTCCATCATGAGATTTTTGGTCAGACTCCTGGAGCTGTGCCGAGACCCCCCCACCAAAGCTTCAGGTCCAAATCAGAGCTGTTCAGAGAGCACGAGGGCTCACCTGCTACAGTGGACACATTGGCTAACAGGTTGCACTGCAGCACCCCTACAGACAAGGACACTATCACAATGCCACCGTTCTTCTCCTGCAGGAATAGTCAAATGAACACTCATCTTGGGTCCTTGCCTACCCCCAGAGCCATGTGAGCCCTGATTTTGGAAGCCAGGAGATATTTCACCTTTCTGAGTTTGTGTGAATAGGGGAGTCTCAGGCCAGGTTGGAGGTGTTTGGCTTTGGGTTTGAGAGGTAGAGAAATATTTATCATCTAGAACCACCTCCTTACACCCACTGGATTCAAGGGTTCAGCACTGTGGGTTTGTGGGGCAGAAGATGTTTAGCTGGGGGTCTGAGGAAGTCAAGGGAACAGGAGCTCAAGTTTGAAACTCTTGCTTTAGGTTCTGAGGCTGGGCAGTTTCTCACCAGAAGCTGCAGGATGTCATCAGGAACATTCCGAGTGTTGTTGCACATACCTTGGACAGCTGAGTTTGAGGAGATCACAGGTGCCTGTGACACTTCCAAGGCCCTCCGGGCCACAGGATCAGAAACATGAGACAAGTCTACCATCATGCCCAGGCAATTCATTTCTGTTACCACCTTCTGCAGGGACAGGTTGGGAGGAGGGTGTCAGGGATGCATATGCAGACATCTGCAGGGAGAGGTGGAGCATGAGCATTTTTGTGGGGTGGAGTATGAAGCAGGGTCCTTACCTCCCCAAAGCTGGTCAGCCCACTGACATTGTTGTAGAAGAGGTGCGTGTCCTTAGATGAGCTCTCTGCCCTGCAGAATGGCTAGGGAGCTTGATGATCAGTTCTGGCCTACAGGTCCTATCAAGCCCTCCTTGCAGCCCATAGGGCAAAAGCAAGGTGAGCTATGCCTCACAGAGGGAGGGTACTGTTGGGATCCAGTGTTGCCCTGTGAACCCCAGAATACCAGCCCTCCTTCCCATTCCAGGGTCAGTGCCAGATCCCCTTTTTTTTTTTTTTTTGGTACTGGGGCTCACACTCAGGACCTTTCGCTTGTGAGGCAGGCAGCAGAATCACTGAGCTAAATCCCCAGCAGTGCCAGATTCTAAAGTTAAAGCTTTGTCTGGGCCCATGGTATGATCTTGGACAGATCTCTGCCCTGGTGGGTGCACACCATCTGCACTTGCTCACCAGGGTGTGTTGCAGGTGTGTGTAAGCATGAGGTAGCGCACTCCCAGCACATAGAAGGTATGCAGGATGGAGAGGCTACTGTCCAGCGAGTGGCTACCCTCCACACCAATGAGGCAGGCCAATTTCTGGGTGCTGTTCAGAGCTGGGGACAAGAAGTTTAGGCGATTACTTTCAGGAGCCAGAGTAGCTCAATCAAGTCCCTAACACCCCTCATCAATCCACTTACCTTCAGCTGAGGTCACCAGCTCCCGCTCAGAGTAGGAGGCACACATGCGGCAGATGAGGTCTATCTGCTCCAGGGTGAGGTGCACAGCATCCCAGTTCTGGGTCTGACATGGGACGTAGGCTGACCAGAACTGGGGGGAAAGTCAGGGGTTGGCCTGGCAGGGGCTATTTTGGAATTCCTGGGGCCTCCACAGCTGCCACAGCACCCAGTGGGCCTGGAGGCCACATGTAATGCATTGCTGGTTCTATAGTACTGTCCTGCCCACCAAGCCAGCTGGCTGTAGCCCTCGCTGGTCCAGCATCTTTTCGGGTCATTATTATGGTAAGTGAGTTCCCTGTGGCTAACCACAGTCACCCTCTGTGTCCCTGTAGTACCTGAGCACCCACGAGGCCATCTCTAAGCTTGTCTAGGCTGGTCTGGCCATGGCTGAAATTGCGAAGGTTGACATTCTGTAGTGAATCCTGGTAAAATTGCCTCAGGACCAAGGGCAGGTCTTTGTGGCTGGAAGGATGTTAAGGCAGGGTCAAGGTCAAGGACAAGTGGGCGGGCCCTTTTAGGCTTCCAGGTCTGGCAAGACACATCCCCGGGGACCCCCACTCCACACTGTCACCCAGACTATACTGAGATGCCCTGAGGCCAGGGCTGGGAGGGTTCCCACTGGAGAGGCAGCACTAGAGCTGGGGAAGGGTACCTGTGGATAATGGGAGACGGGGCATCCGAGGGTAGTGTGAAAGAGCCTCCTTGATTGTGGGACTGCATAACTCTGTAATCATAAAACTCCCCTAGCCCCAACTGTAAATGTGAGTAAATAGATAAAGATGCTTGTTAGTTCAGGGACACTAGATAAGATCTGTATCAGCCATAAGGTCCCAAAGTAAATTACTCAACTCTTTGTTCGAAACTGATGTTCCGGACACCGCTATCTATAGAACAATCTACAAACATCTGCTGAGCATCAGTACGTGTCAGCTGACCACTAACCTTTGTTCCTCTTCTGTAAATTTCGCCTGTTAACTTCCCCTGCAACCCCCTATAAAAAGAGCCTCGGACTCTGGGCTAGTCGCCTCTCTAAGCTACTTTGCTTTGGGAGTGCCGTCTGGCCAGACTAAGGTCTGTTTTACTTTCCAACATGTTCAGTGTGTTCCTTCCCGGGTGTTCTTCGCTGCAGTCAGCTCCTCGGAGCGTTTGGTAAGGCCCTCGGTCTTACATTTTGGAGGCCCCTAGGCCCCGCTGGGATCCCCGGGTGTTCTTCGCTGCAGTCAGCTCCTCGGAGCGTTTGGTAAGGCCCTCGGTCTTACATGATAGCCCTGCATGCTTGGAACCCTCTTCTGCCCATTGGAACCCCCATTTGTCCCCACATGACACCTACACACCCACCAGTGGGAAGTCCCGCATCAGGGCCTGAGCACGTTCTCGTAGCCCCAGGACCCTGGAAGTGTGGTCTCAGAGCCAGTGGTGTCTGGTGTGGTCGTGGTGCTGAGGGTGCCCGGTGTGGCTTGGGCACAGGTTACCGGCTGTAGCAGCAGCGCTAGGGAACCCAGCAGAGGCCACTGGCAGAGCGCTCAGGGACCCTCAAGGCCCATGGGCTCCATGTTGTACAGGAACGAGGCGTCGGACAGGAGTGACGGTTGTGAGAACCTGGGAGGGGCAGAAGACGACAATGGAGTTCCAACCTTTAATTCAAGCCATCCAGCAGTGCTGCCTTGAAAGAGAGATTGATGTCACGGTGTAAGACCAAGGGCCTTACCAAACGCTCTGAGGAGCTGACTGCAGCGATGAACACCCGGGAAGGAACACACCGGACAAGTTGGAAAATAAAACAGACCTTTATTAGTCTGGCCAGACGGCACTCCCAAAGCAAAATAGCTAAGAGAGGCAACTGGCTCAGAGTCCGAGGCTGTTTTATAGGCGGTTGAGGGGGAGGTTAACATGTAGATGTACAAAAAAAGGAACAAAGGTTAGTGGTCGACCGTCACGTACTGGTGGTCAGCAGACACCTTGATGGATTGTTCTATCGACGGTGGGTCCGGGAACATTCGTTCTCTGGACAAACAAGGGGTTGAGTAATTTACTTAGGAACTTTGTTTTGCTACAGATTTTATCTACTATCCCAGAACTAACAACCACATTTTAACCATTAATTTTTAAACACAACAGAGGCTAGGGGAGTAATTGAATTTGGAATCATACAGTCCCACAACGGGACCCTGCGACCACCACGCAGAGTGTTGCAAAGTCGCACAGCCGTCGCCAGGGGGCACCACGGCCCTCGTGCCCCTCCTCCTAAAGGCTCCCCCTCAGGCTGGGTGGGCCAACGGAGCACTTGGTGGGCTCCCTTCGCCCCTCCCACTGTCATCCTCTCCACTGCTGAGGTGGGTTGGAGGGCGAACCAGGTGGCTCTCCAGCTGCCTTTAGGGTTTGTTTTCCAAGAGAGCACCAAGGGTGTTTCTCCCACAGCATGGCCTCGGGCCCTGGGTTCTTTCCAGACCACTTCATGTCCCCGGGTTCCTGCAGCCTGCCCTAGCCTCTTTGAGGGCCACATGTGTCTCTGTGACCACAGTTCTCTAAGCTCTGGATTTTTCTGTACTGTCAGGTAGGGTGGGAGGAGACATTTTCTGGAAAGAGGAAGTTAACCTCCTGGACTTTGGATTCAGGAAAGGACCCTCAGACCCTGACGATTCTCTGTTTTATCATGGCCACATGTCCATCCTCTGGGGACTCCACCCAGGACTGGAGACTCCCCCTGGGGACTGTCAGGGGGACCCTCCCCATGATTCCACATCAGCCTCAGGAAAGGGCTTCCATCTCAGAAGACGCTCTACCTGCCTCGGACTCTCATGAAGGAACAGTGGGGATGAGAACTGAGGGAGTGTCTGGAGAGGGCCAGGGAACCCTCACTTAGTAGAGCAGGAACTCTGGCAGCTATTTGGGTAGATGGAAAGGAAGTAATTTCCAATGCAGCAGAGCCCCCACCCCAGCACCTTCCTCCAAGGGCTGCAGGCTGACCTGACGGCCAGATTGTTCCTACCTTAGTGTGGAAGCCAGGTCAGAAGTATGGTTCTTAAGGAAAGGCTTGGACCCAGGGTTCTGTAACTACCCCTGCCTTATCTTGTGGATCTTGTGGCTTTAGCTCTTACAGTAACTCCAAGGGTTTGGTTCCCTTCCTTTTCTGGTAGGCCCCACCCCTTTTCCAGCCCCCCCCCCCAGCTTCCTCCAGGAACCCTCTCCAACACAGGCACACACGCCCACATACATGGGCACACACACTCTTTGTTGAATTGCCACCAAGAGGCTTTGGGAGCAGTGCCCAAACTCACTCATCCTCAGACTTGTTCCTATTTCCTGTTCTTGCCTCTCAGCTTCTCAAGATTCTGCTCTGAATCCTGATGCTGCAAGAGCAGTGCATGAGGACTTGGAGATTCAAGAAGACCCTCTAAAAAGGAAATGAGCAAACATTTCCAAAGAGACTGGAGGTTCCAAGCTCCTCAGAAGGAAGGATTCCCAGCTTGGATGTATTTAGGAACTGTGCATTTGTTATTGCCTAGTACCTGCTCTCCAGGAGGAAGGCAAATCAACAGAACTGTGCTAGAGGTGGGTCAACTCCTTGCCTACTGCAGTTGGAGGATTCTTTAAGTAGGTACTGCAGAGAGTGAGTGCCCTAGGAATCCACTTCAGATGACACCAGGCTGTGTCCCAGCCCTGGGTGGTTTTGCACTCCAACGTAGACCTGGCTCTCTTCCTTTGCACAACTGGTCAGCAACTCGCACCCTGTCTTATGCTTCTGAGTGACAAGAAGGAGGAGAAATTCTTGGATTTGCTAGTTTCTAGGTTAAAGATGTGGGTTTGGGGGTAAACAGCATGTCTGTTCCACTCCTGATAGCCTGCAGGAATTGGGGGTACAAGGAACAGGGAAGAGATAGACAGGAATAAACAAATAGTAGCTGTTGATAGAGGAGTCGGTGGGAGAATTTAGTTTTTGTTTTTTTGAGGTTTTTAAGCTTTTCTTCAGGGCCTGAATGTCTGATATCTCAGGACTTGGGGAAAACTCTAGCCTGATAGAGAGATGGGCTATGCTGAGTCACTGTCTCTGTAGAAGATTAGTTGTAAGCTGTGTGTGGTGGTACATGCTGGTAATCCCAGCTTCTTGGGAGGCTGAGGCAGGAGAATTGCAAGTTCAAGGCCAGCCTGAGCAACATAGAGACTCTATCTCAAAATCAAGTTAAAAGAGCTGACTGGGGATATAGCTCATTGGCACCACACCCACCTGCCTGGCAAGCTCAAGGTCCTGAGTTCGATGCCTGGTACCACACACACACACACACACACACACAAAGTTAAAAGGACTGGGGATGTAAGTCAGTGGTAGAGTTCTTGTCTAGTATGAGTGAAGCCTTGCGTTCAATTCCCAGTGCCATAAGAAAAAAAACCACAAAATGATTAGTGGCAAAATATAATTTTCCATAACATCCAACTTCAGTCAAACATTGGCCTTGAGGTAACCATACAAAACCAATCATAGAAATCAAACATACCCAGACTCAGGGGCATCTAAACACTCATGCCAAAGTGGTAAGCAGGTTTTAGCCAACAAGGTGGATTATCTGTCCTTAACCTCGCCATTTACAGGGAAATGTGCCCTACCATTTACAGGGAAAAGGATTACATTAATGAAGTCTTGTCTTAGGCTTCCTTCCCCATCTCATAGTCTGAGGGCAGAGGCTACAACATGCTGGCAGTGGGCAGGTTTGGAAGCAAGGTAGAGGCAGAGAACCTCAGGGCCTCACTCCAGATCTGACCCTAAGTGTTGTCTCCAATACCTCCTCATTCCGCACCCTGCTCCCCATCATGGCATTTCCAATTTCTGCTGGCTCAACCTTAAAACATCTCTTGTGTCTCCTCTCTGTTCCTTCTGGCTCATCCCCAGTAACCTTTCCCCACAGAGAAGCCCCCCCCCCCCGCTTTCTTTTAGTGGTACTAGGGATTGAATTCAGGGCCTTCACACAGAGTTATATTCCCACATGGACAAACACCCTCTCACACCATTTTTTGAGGCAGGGTCTTGTTAAGTTGCCCATGCTGGGCTAAACTTGCAATTCTCCTGCTTCAGCCTCTTAGAGTGCTGGGATTACAGGTGTGCTCCACCAAGCCTGGCTGTATGTATACCTCTTTTTAAAAATTTGTATCAGGGCCAGGGATTTAGCTCAGTGGTTCTGTCACCTGCCTTGCAAGTGCAAGGACCCGAGTTCGATCCCTGGTACCAAAAAAAAAAAAATTTTGTATCAGAGGTGGAGATGTAACTCAGTGGTAGGGTGCATGCTTAGCATGTTCAAGGCCCTGGGTTCCATCTCCAGCACCAAAGCCAGAAACAGGGTCATTTTCTTACCTGAAGTTGTTTATTTGATTTCTCATTGCTCTTGGGATATACCAATTCTTTTCTTTGGCTTTCAGCTGCTGAAGAGTCGCTCCCACCAGCCTCTCCAATCTTATTAAATAGCACAAACAGCTTGCCCTCTAAACTAACTGCCTCCCACCGCAGGAACTTGGCACATGTTAAACCCTCAAGCTCCAACTGGTGGGGCTATTAAGTCAGGGGCAGGACAGGAAATCTTACCACCAAGAAGGGGTGAGTCTCTCCAATTCCTCACCTATACAATGTTGACACAAAACAAGATCTGCAGATGAGGCAGTGGAAGAAATAGGACCAAGGTTAATGCAGTGGCAGAACTGACCCACCCCTGCTAATGTCCAATACATTGCAAAAATATGCAGAAAGTAAAAGTCAGGTTGAGTTATGGGTGCACAGGCCACCTCTCATGCTCAGAGTGCAGGGGTGGGTGGAGGTGGGAGCTTACTTGCTAATTGGAATTGCCCAGATGGTGATCATCTCCATTTGGGGTCCTCAGCCCTGGAGTCTCATGCTGCCCATGCCCTTTTAGAGTGTAGCTCTGGATCTTCTCCCACAATAATGGACATGGTCAAATTCCCAAGAAAACAACGGTCTTTCAAGCCAGAAGATAGATGGCCTCCATAGACACATGTCCTCCAATCACAAAGCTGAAGGCCACCCATTCTGAAATGACAAATAGCACATTTTTCTTCCTCCAAAGGAAGAAAATGTTCGTCTTGCTAGGAGAATTGCAATAACCACTAATGCATCTCCATCCCCTGCTTCCACCCAACCTTCTCTGCAATGTCCACCCTTTGTTCCTCACCCTGGCCAGCCTGTCTGTCCATCAGTCCTGGGCTGCTCTTTGAGGGAGATAACTGGTGACTTGAGTCCCATCTGTACTGCTGAGATCCTCTTGCAGCCAGGCATTGCTTGATTTCAGGCAGTAGAGAGGATCCAGCACACAAGGTGCCCAGAGCAAAGTCACATGTGTCTGACAGGCGTGATACGTTTATCTGAGCTGTTTATGGAGACCATATGTTCTGGTAATTTGCCTGGATCCACAGCCTTAGAACCTTTGTCCTGAGATTGGTTTGCATGTTGACTTGTGTCCTAGGAGACACAGTTTCTGAGGCTCCTTTCCCATAGGCAGTTGGCCAGAATGTGGACTCCTGGACGAGGATGGCTCAGAAAGAATGGCCTAGGTTCCATCTCCATTGGCAGGCAGTGGAGGTCAAAGGAGAAGAGACATTAGGTGTCTCAGGACTTAGGCTGTTCAATGCCCATCCTCTCGACAGAGTGCCTCAGCCAGCAAGGTATTGATGGAGTCTTGTCACTGTTGTTCAAGTGGCAAATTTGGGGGCTAGGGCATCCTAGGTGTGTTGGTTATATTCTACCATCAAGGTCTCTTGGGAGCTGCCTGGATGCTGGGTTCTCTTCTCTGGCCTTAGCTGGGGTGGTGATGGAAGCACCCCCATAAGCCTGGTAGCTGCCAATTAGGCAGTAGGTCTCTCCATGCCAGCCCGCCTGGCTTTCTCTACATTCTAAGGACATGGTTGTAAGCAGGCATAGGAGGAGCTGTGGGCAGCACTGCTGCTAGGAAGAAAACTAGAGCTGATCAGTCACTCCGCCTTTATACACGGTGCTGCCAGGACCTCTCTCTTTCTCTCTCATGTGTCTTCCTGGATGAGGCCTACTGGGATACTACTGGGCATCCCAAACATAGACTTGGCCATCACTTCCATAGTCCCCTTAAAGGGACTTATGCTGTAGTAACTCTTTGGCTTCCATGGAACCAACAGCAGTAAAACAACAACAACAACAAAAACTAAAACAAAACAAAAAAACCAAACCCCAGATCAGCTATCCCCATTCCTACAGAGAATAAGAGAACCTGAAAATAATTGGAAAAGGACCCCCTCAATCTTTGGGTACATAGATTAGGTTTAACATGCCTTCTCAAACCAAGCCAATTTCCTGGGATGCTCTTTCCTCAGATCTCCAGTCTCAGTAGCACTTTATCTCTCTGGAGGCTTTTCTGTCCCAGCTGTATGACACCACCCTTGCCCCAGTCCTCAGCAGCTCAGTCTGGGATGTGTCTGGGGAGCCCATGTGTGTGTCTCAGGCAAGGTAAAGATGCCTGAGTGTCAAAGTGAGGTTCATGAGAGGCTCTTCATCAAACTCTTCCCTTATCACTTGACAATGAAATACACTTGGCTTTTGCTGAGAGTCTAATCAAGACAGGGTCTGAATAAAGCATCTTTATTTATTTATTTATTGCTTTTGGAGATGGGGTCTTAATTTCTTGCTTAGTGTAGTTTCGAACTCATGGGCTAAAGAGGTCCTCCCACCTCAAAGCCTAGTGAATAAATGGATTATAAACACATCCACTGTGCCCAGATGTAATGAAAGCATCTAGTAGCCCGAAGGGGAAGGAGAAATTGATAGGGCTTGGGCCTTTCTAAATGCTTGGTCAGAGATGACATGTTCCTAGACTACGCATTGTGCAGGAAACCATCTGGGTCCCTGAGTTGGCACTAGGCTCTGGTCCTGCTCATGACTGGGGAAGTTTGGAGGTATAGGGGAAGGGACAAAAGGAAGTTGTGATGGCCACTGATGTGTGTACACCAAGACCTTGTGTAGAGATGCCTGGCCTAGGCTTATCTGCTGCACTGCTCTCCCAAGGGACAGTTAACAAGTTAGCCTGGAGGTAGAAGATGCAGTCAGACATTCTCTTCCAAGCAACCAAACAGACTGGTGTTGAATAGAAAACTGATAGGGAAGTTTCTCCATGTTTCAGTAGATTCCCTGACATGGAAACCAGGGGGCCTGTGATGTCATCACTACATACTGGGACACATACGGAATTTGTGAAGCCACGGGCAGGCTTCAGGCTTCAGTGTTTGGTGGAGGAGAACAGAGAGAAGGCCTGGCTCTTCCTGTTTGGCCTCCCTGCCCTTGTCAAGTAGCCACTTCTCGTGGGGCACACCTGTGGATGGACACAGCCTCAGGGGCCACAGCAGGAAAAGAGTATGCAAATTCTAAAATGGGCCACAGTGAAGTAGAAGACTAGGGCATGGCCACATGGCTGGAGCAATTGGGCATTACCTGCCAATTGAAGAGTCTTTTAACCACGGTGCAGAGCAGCAGCTCCCGAGCCTGACGTGAGATCAAGCCGATCCCTGGTGCCTGATATCAATCTTCTGACATGAGAACAAGCCAAGCCTAGCACCTGATGCCAGTCTTCTAGCATGAGATCAAATGGGACCACTGGATCAACTATCAAAGAAGATATAAAAAGATGTCAGTAATTGCCCTCTTGTTCTTGCAGTTGTCTGTTCTGCTTGTAGGATATATCCTCTCTTTTTCCTTCAAAGCACTCTTTTCTCCTTGAGCATAGTTTTTTTCTTTTTGGAGACAGGGTCTCACTATGTAGTTCAGGCTGGCCTCAAACTTGTGAGAATCCTTCTGCTTCAGCCTCCCAAGTGCTAGGATTGCAGGCATGCAGCTGTATGGTGTGCCATGCGCCACCATGCCTGGCCCTCCTTGAGCATTTATTTTGTGCTTCTTTTCCTTTTCCTATTTCTGCCCTAAAATAAACAATAATCTTTCAAATTCATCAATTGTTCTGACCAATTCATGGAACTGAATAAGAACCTGGAAAATAATGCCAGTCCTTACTCCACCCAGTAACAAAATATCAAGATGAAACTAAGATAAAGTTGCCTGGCTCTGATCCTGAGCCTTTAACAGTTTAACAGGCAGAAATTTGGGTGGATTAGGTGATTAAGGAAGGCTCCTCGGAGTAGTTCTGAAGCATAAGTGAGATTTGAATATTTGCTGATGAAAGACGTTTCATTGGAAAAGAATAAAGACAGGCTCTTGAGGTTCTGCAACAACTATACATTGAGAATCTTCATGTTCATAACAACTAAAGTGTTCAAAAGAGCTAAGAGGTTAAAGTGCCTGCCCAAGGTCACACAGGCAGTGAAAAGTTCTGCTCAACAGCAGTGCTTCCTGTTGTTCATTGTGGGCTCCAGTACTGTGGATGATACTAATGTGAGCACAAGGCCATGACATATGAAAGTGACAGACTCTGGGGAGGAGGTTCAAGGTGGTGCAAGGTAAATGAGGTGACTTTACATGGTGGGAGTGACAAGCTCATTGCAACATGAAATTCAAATCACATTCCTGCAAAATGACATAATACAAAATGACATAATTTCATTCCCTACCTGTAAAAAAGGCAAACAATTGGGTTGGGGATAGAGCTCAGTGGTAGAGTGTTTGGCTTGCTTGAAGCCCTGGGTTCCATCCTAGCACTGAAAAAAAAAAAAAGGCAAATGGAGTATGAGTCTTTATAATCTCTGAATCCTACATCAGGGTAATGATTATGAAGTGAGTCCAAGAAAAGATGATTTATTATTAGAAATCACGACATCATTCTAAGTCAAAATACAAAGTCCTCTTTAGTTTTCATGTGACTCCCTCCAATTCTGGACAGCAGCAGTTTTTTTTTTTTTTCAAAGCCAGAAGCAGCTCACCAAACTGTCAGGGAGGCGATAGGGCAGCCAAACACCTCCTACTCACACCGGTGCTCACCCACCCAGGACCCTGAGAAAGAGCCTCGCTGGAGCACCATGTTTATTCCAGTTTTTTCTGTGGCAAAGGGTCTTTCATTAGGATGCTAGTCCTGAAAGCCTTCCCCTTCCCTGTGCTGTCAGTTCAGTCTTCTGAACCAGCTTACGTCCCAGGGATG